GTCCCTGCCATGGCAGGGGTGACACTGGATGGGTTTTAATGTCCCTTTTAACTCAAACCATCCTGCAACAAGGGGCAAGAGCCCTCAGGGTGGGCACAGCCCAGCCCCAGGTGACACCAGACTGGAGAAGGGACAGTTTTGGAGCAGCCAGGGGCTCCAGGGACACCAGAACAGAGCTGCACATCCCCAGTCCTTACAGAAGAGCTGTTACACAAACACAGTCTGAGAAAGGGAGGTGAAAATTCCCACACGAATCACAACAGAGGCAGAAACAGAGCCTCTAATTTAAGGGGAAAAAAAATACAACCTAAAGTGCTTTACACCAACAAAAGAGCCTTCATGGAATATGAAACAGGATCCTGGAGCTCCCAGGAGCAGAGAGGGGCAGGAAGAACAATGTCACAGACAAATCCGGGCTGGAGGAATGCAGAAGCCCCAGCACCGAGCCCTCCTTGGCCACTGCCCACTTGGGAAGGCTTTTCCATCACATGCTCAGGACAAGGAGAGGCAGGAGAGGATTTTCTGGCACGACCGTGGCTGGCAGAGGGGGTGGTGGAGGGGCTCACACCTCCCCTGTGTCCCACAGCAGCAGCCAGCAGGTGGGAGGGGAATTAGAGATAAAAACTGGGGCTTTGTTAGCAGGAGATCGAGCCCTCTTTTCTCCACAACTGGTTCTGTCACAGTCGCTGGTCCAGCCAGCACGGGGGGTTCTGGGGTGCTGAGCTCCTCCAGAAATGATCCTCAGGGGGATGAGGGGTCACAGCACCCAGCCCCACACAAAGGAGCCCAGGCCATGGCTGCACTGAGGGGGCACATTCAGCCCAACAGCTCAGAGACCCCCAGCACAAAATAAAAAAGGAAAAGAGCAGTTTTTGGGGAGATTTCATCTGACATGGGAGGATTGAAATGTGTGAGCCTACCCTATTACAGCAGTTCTGGCAAAACTGAGGCTGCCCAGAGTTCCCAGGAATGAAAGAAGCATTTAGAAATTGGGCACTGTCTAGAACGCCCACTAAAACACTCAATTTTGAGCAGGTTTCAGCTCTGGCACCGCCTTCCTCAGGAAATTTCTCACCATCCCAAGCACGGCCAGGACCTGGGGCTCAGCCCAGGAGTGCCCAGGCCACAGCCAAGCAGGAAAATCATGTTTTCCTGCCAGAGTATCACTGACGTGGGAGGCAGTCTCTGCCTCTGCTGGCTGCACAGCTCTGCACCTCCTGCCCACAGCCCTGCCGGCCCTCGAGGGGGGCTGGGGTTTGATGACTTTAATTAATAAATATTTTCTCCCTCAGGATGGGAAATAGGCATCAGGGCAGCTCTGGAGCCAGGCTTTGTGCTGACTCCGGGGCAGGTATGCTCCTGGGGAGAGGATGGAACAGGGCACAGGGATGCTCCAGGAGCTGGGGGTGATGCTGGCATTGATGAGATGCTCAATCAAGGAATCCCAGACTGGTCTGGGTTGGAAGAGATATTAAAATCATCCAGTGCCACCCCTGCCATGGCAGGGACACCTCCCACTGTCCCAGGCTGCTCCAAGCCCCAATGTCCAACCTGGCCTTGGGCACTGCCAGGGATCCAGGGGCAGCCACAGCTGCTCTGGGCACCCTGTGCCAGGGCCTGCCCAATATCCCATCTAATTCTATCATCCTTCAGCTTAAAGCCATTCCCTGTGTCCTGTCCCTCCAGCCCTTATCCCAAATCCCTCTCCAGCTCTTCTGGAGCCCCTTTAAGCCCTGGAATGATCTCCCCTAATCTTTCCCTTCTCCAGAGTTACTCAACAACTCTTCCTCATGAGCTCCAAACCATGCCATCTACCCCAAAACCCCGAGGTGGCCTCTGCGGGGTCCCTGAGTGCAGCAGGAGGGCGCTGGTGTCCCCAGGTGTCACTCACCGTTGTTGCAGTGCCGCACGCAGTCCTGGAACACCGCCCGCCACTTGTCCTGCTCCTTGCCCGTCATCACACAGAAATAATAGTGCCGGGCATAGGGGTGCCACAGGATCAGTGGGAAATCCGTGGGGCACTTCAGGATGGGAGAGTGCCCCGATTTCGGGGTCACACCTGTGGAAAAGCGTGCATGGTTTGAGGGGGAGATGGGGACAGACAGGGATGGGGAAACTGAAGGGCTGGGGGTGTCCAGCAGGGATACACAGACCCTTCAGCTCCTTCCCAGGGCATTTAAAAAAAAAAAACAACCCAAACAAACTGCAAAAAGAGCCTCATTTTTCTGAAAAGGAGATCAGAATGAAAATTGAAAAGTGCAACTGAAAGTAATTAAAAGTAAAATTGAAAGTAATTAAAAATAATGCGGTTCTCACGGAGCCATGGACACATTTTCCTTCCTTCCTGGAATCCTTCCTTCCTTGAACCCTTCCTGGAATCCTTCCTTGAACCCTTCCTAGAATCCTTCCTGGAATCCTCCCTCCCTCCCTCCCTCCTTCCCTGGTAACTGTGGCAGGATCTGGTAGCACAGACCCCACACCCCACTGTGGGAACAAGGTTGTTCTTCCCTACAACCCCAAAACTGCCACTTCCCAAAGGTGCCCAGGGATACTATATCCCAAAAAACCCCATTCCTGAAGGTCTTCAAGGATACAATGCCCCAGTCCCATCTTTTTCGAGAAGGTCCTTAGGAATGCTACACCCCAAAAATCACCCTTTTCTGAAGGTCCTCAAAGATGCTACATCCTAAAACTACCCCTTCCAGAAGGTCTTTAAGGATGCTACATCCCAAACCCACCTTTTCTAGTTTGTTCCCAGGGATACAACACCCCAAAATCACACTTTTCTGAAGGTCCTCAGGGATACAACACCCCAAAATCACCCAGGGATGCTACACCCCAAATCTACCCCTTCCAGAAGGTCTTTAAGGATGCTACACCCTTAACCCACCTTTTCCAGAAGGTCCTCAGGAATGCTACACCCCAAAATCACCCTTTTCTGGAGCTTCTTAGGGATACAACACCCCACAATTACCCTTTTCTGGATTCCCAAGGATAGGACATCCCACTATTACCCTTTTACAGAACTTCTTAAGGATACAACACCCCAAAAATCACCCTTTTCTAGAGCTTCCCAAGGATACAACACTCCACAATCACCCTTTTCTGAAGGTCCTCAGGAATGCTGCACCCCAAAATCACCCTTTTCTGGATTCCCAAGGATACAACACCCTATAATCACCCTTTTCTGAAGGTCCTCAGGGATCACACCCCCCAAACCCACGCAGAGGTCCCCTGGGGCTGCTCACCAGGCAGGCTGTTGTTGACCAGCTCCAGGTACTGCTCCACGGAGGTGAGGATCTTGTAGCCAGCGCTGTTGACCAGCACCCGGGGTGGCAGCTCCCGCTCATAGGCCTGGGCAGGAGAAATGGTCATGGATGGGGTGACCCCCGGGTGGGGAATGGCCCCTCTGGGGCTGGGTGGAAGGGGGGAAGGGGGGTTGTCCTCACCAGTTTGTTCTCGTAGAGGACCAGCCCATAGTTGTGTGGCACCACGCAGAAACGGTTCCTCCACTTCTTGTTCTCCTCGATGTACTGGAAGATGTTGCCTGAGTAGATGACGTGGTCCTCCAGTGGAACCTGCAGGGAAGGGACAGGCACAGGGGATCAGGGAGGGGACAGCTGTGCCTGGGGAGCTCAGAGAGCTCCATCCATGGTGCTCTGGGTGGGTGTTTCTTCTCCAGGGCCGTGCTGAGGGTCTCTGCTGGATTAGCTCCCGTGGCATTGCAAATTTTGGTGCCTGAATTGGTGCATCTGGGTGATGCTTTGAGGGGGACCCTAAGAAAGCTCCAAGGCATGGCTCATCCAGCATGTGGTCACACCTCTGGTGACACCTCTGCCCCTGGCATCTCCCCCCTGGGACACACTGAGCCACTCCAGCTCCCCTGGCTGAGTGGAATTTTGGAGCAGAGCTCTCCAGCTGCTCCTGCAGCCCCAGCTCTGCCATTTCCCTGCCTCGAGGCACTGCTGCCAGAAAGTCCTGCCAGTGCCATCTGCAGGGTCAGGAACCAAGCCCTACCCAGCAGGGGCTCCAGATGGGACAGGGCAGAGGGAAAGAAAGAAGCCACCCCATAGAGCCCAGCACCAGACAATGCTCAGATGTTCTGGACTTCACTGGCACCAGTGACAGCTTTTTTAAACTAGGAGAGATTTTGAGTGGATTTTGAGCAGGAATTGTTCCCTGGCAGGGTGGGCAGGCCCTGGCACAGGGTGCCCAGAGCAGCTGTGGCTGCCCCTGGATCCCTGGCAGTGCCCAAGGCCAGGTTGGACATTGGGGCTGGAGCAGCCTGGGACAGTGGGAGGGGTCCCTGCCATGGCAGGGGTGGCACTGGATGAGCTTTAAGGTTCCTTCCAACCCAAACCATTCCATGATTCCATGAGAGGAACAGGCCAAGGCCACCTCGTGCCCCCCAGCTGTGCAGCCCCTCCCCAGCACCTTTTGGCCAGCAGCATTTACACCATCCCAAACACAGGCTGCCTGAGGGAGCCAAGAATTTGTCCCAGGAATTTTTATGATCCCAGGAACATAAACAAGAGCTGAGAGCTCTCGTGAGGGCTGGAGTGTGCAGCAGCCGCCTCTGCTGCTGTGGCCACCCACCCTCCACCATGGTGGCCGCCAGGAGGGACCAGCCAGGGCTTGGATCCCACCCTGTCCCAGCAGCAGGACCCTTCTGGAGGAGCCTTTTCCACTCTTCTCCCTGCTCTGCCCTTCCCCTGGCTTCCCCAAGCCCCGACCACACACCCCTAGGGCTGGGGGAGGTCTGACAGCAGCTTGGCTGCTCCTCACTGCTTCCCAAAGCCTTTGGAAGAGGGAAAAGAAAGCCCAAAGCAAGCCCTGCAGGAGGAATGAGAACCTGAACCCCAAGGCAGGGATGGGGACAGACAGGAGGTGCCAGCTCTGGGGAGTCCCCACCAGTGACTCCTTTAAGGGGAATGAGCCCTCCTAAACTGGCTCCAGAACCTCTGCCCAGGGCAGACAGCTGGACAGAGCTGCTGCTGATGGAATAAAATCCAGGCTGAGCCCTGACACGGCTCTGGGGACCCTGGAGAGCCACCAGCACTTTGGGAGCCCCAGCAGAGCTGTCCCCTCCTCACTCACCCTCCCCAGGGAGGCACCCAGGGGGCTCCTCCCAGCTCCAGCAAATATTTGGGACAGGCAGGTGTGTGCCAAACTGTGGGGCTGGGCAGGGAGGGGCCAGCGAGCCCCTGGGCTGCCCAAATCGCTGTCACAGGGCCAGGATGTCAGGGATGATTTTTCAGGAGCTCTGGATTGTTGGAGAGACCAAAGGCAGAAGTGTTTATTCCATATTCTCATTGCTGTTGTACCTTGCTGGTGTTTCAGGTGCCCAGATCATCCTTCACAGCCCATTCCTGCTGTCCCCCTCTGCCCAGGAAGGTCACAGTGTCACCCCTGGTGTCACTGCTCTGAGCACCACAGAGCTCACAAAAAAAGGGAATAAACAAGGAACATTTAAAAATCCCAAGTGCCACATCCCAGCTGAGGCCAGGCAGGATGACACCCTCCATCCTTGTGCCATCCACAGCTTTTTGGGGCATGTTAGGGGGGCACAAAGTGCAGCTGGAGATGCTCATTTCTCACTGTTGTGGTGTCTGGAGTATTGGGACATCCCAATGACACTGCCAGGGAGGGGCTGGGCAGCACATGGGACATGTCCCAGTGACACTGCCAGGACCCTGGGAGGGGCTGGGCAGCAGACAGGACAATGAGCAGCAGGAATTCCAATTTGTAAACGGGGTTTTTCCAAGACTTGCAGTGTCCCTGAACTCCCGACCTTGCTGCTGTCCCTCAGACATTCCTGGGCTGCTTGCTGGAGCTTTTTTTGATGAAGCAACCAACCTGGGGATGGAGGCACCTCCCAGGAGGGCTGAAGGAATCTGAGGAACCCAAGGGTGCTGAGGGCACTGGGCCCCAGCTCCTCACCAGGAACCTCCACTCCTTTATTTTTTCTAACACACCCAGAGCCCAGGCAGGTCCCCGAGGAGATGGGGCACGTCCTGGTGCCTGGGCAAGGTGTCACCTTCATGGGTGGGTCAGGGTTGAGTGAGGGCTGTGAGCACCCAGGGCTTGGGGCTGAGCTCAGGGAGGCATTTCCCAGATTCCTTAGCAGAGCCCCAAACAAAAGCAGGAGCCTGTGGCTATGTGCAATCACATCTCTTCCTGCTTTCAAGGACAGCAGCTCCAGCAACCTGGCCAGGCAGGACCCCATGAAAACCATGCCAGGGAGGTCCCCAAGCCAGGCCAGCTTGTGAGCTGCCCCACCTGAGGTGCACCTGCCTTTGGAGGAGGGAGGGAGGGAGGGGAAAGCTGGATCCCCTGCAGAGGTCACAGCCACAAATCCCATCCCTTTAAGCAGGCAGGAGACACGTGGCTGCTGCAGATCAGGAGCCACCCCTGGGGCCAGGGACACCTGACAGGGGTTTCTATTCCTTCCTGGGAATTTGCCCAGGTGGGAGCATCACTCACACACCTCCTCACACAGGAGGGCACTGCCTGGCACATCTGCTCAGGGCTCCCTGAGCTCCAAGGCCAGCCTCACCCTGCTGGCTCCCTGTGCTGCTTCCATGGGGTAGGAAAGAAAACCATCCCAGGGAGCCCCACAGCGCCCCAGGGACGGGCTGGCCCAGGAGCACAGGGCCACCCGGCAGGCTGGGACAGGGCAGGGGGCTGTGCCTGGGCTCTGGGCAGGCCATGGATCGGGGGATGATGGATCCTTACCTTGCGGTGCAGCAGCTGTGCCTGCGGGCCCCCCGTGCCCTCGATCTCATAGCGCACGCTGTTGAAGAGAGCTACTCCAAACTGCTCCTTGTAGCACCGGCAGAACTCCCCCAGCACCTTCCCCGTCTTCTCTGCAAAGGGACAGCAGAGCCACGTTAGGGACGGGCTGGGTTTGGGGTCTGGAACCCCTCAGGACCCCCCAGACCCCTCCCCTACCACCCTGCTGGAACAGCCCTTGGTGCAGACACCATGGCAGAGCCCGCCCTCCCTGTGCAGCCCAGGGCCTGATTCAGGGTCAGGATGATCTCTTTTTTTTTGGCCTTTCACATTAATTTCATGGATTCCTCTCCCCAGCAGGAAATTCCTGACATTGAGCTGATTCCGGCGGTGCCGAGGCTTCCTGTGCCTTGTGCAGCTCCTGGTCCTGCTCTGGCCACCTCAGCTGGCTGAGACTGGGGCCAGACCCCCTCCCCATCCCAGACATCACTCACACCCCCCTGACCCTGCTGTGCCCCCAGAAGGGCCATCCCATAAAGGGGAATCCCTAATGCAGCAGGGTTGGGATTAGGGTTGGGATTGGGGGAAAGGACATCTTGGACCCCCCACACTCACCCATGTGAGGCAGTGACCCCCACCAGGACCCCAAACTCCATTCGGGGATGAGTCCAGGGTGCTGGGAGAGCCTGAACTGCCAGGTATCCCCCTGCACCCCACACTGGAGGAGACCCCCTCCATCCCACGGGCAGCCCCTTCCCCAGCACCCCCTCAATGCAGAGAGTGGGGGTCCATTGCAAACCCACCCCCCGCAGCAGGGACGGGGCTTTTCCAGCCCCAATATGGCCAGAGGAGCTCCTTGGGCACCCCGAGCCACCCAGCACCCTCCCCACCCCTGCTCCACACCCCACACGGGGGTCCCACACCAAAACCCCATCCTGAAGCATCCCAAGGCTGGAGAAACAACTCCCCCCCGAGCTGCTTTTGGCACACAGGACCTCGACTTTGAACTCCCCAGTCAACTTTGCCCCAGAGCCTGTGAAAAATGAAGAATTTGAGTCTCCTCCAACAATTTCTGACAGCTCAGGCTTTGCCAGAGCGCTGGCGATGGGCGCGGGGAAGACGGATCCTGGCTCTGCATCCCAGTGCTGGAGCCAGCATGATGCTGGGGGCACGAACCCAGACAAAACAGCCCCCACACCAGCTCAGCACAGCCTGGCAGCACCCAAAACCTCCAGCAGGAGCCAAAACCTCCAGCAGGAGCCAAAACCTCCAGCAGGAGCCAGGCCGGAGCTGTGCTGGCAGCCAAGGCAGCACAAGGAGCAGCTTTGCTGCAGGGTGCTGCAAATCCCCACGGGAGGAGCAGCTCTGGAGGAAAATGCTGCCCGAGGAGGGACAAACCCATCCCTGAGGAGATGCCAGCACTGCCAGCCATGGGGGCAAACCACAGACTAGCACCACGCTGTGCCAGGGTGAAACCCCCAGAAATATAACAAATTCACAGCAAAGGATGAGACCCCCAGCTCATCCCGGCACAGCAATTCCTCAGCCTGGATTTTGGCCTCTCCTCCTGGCGTCCATGCAGCACCTCTGTTGCAATTCCTGTCTCCCAAGCTGTGTGATTTTGGCCAGAGCTCTGGGCAGCCATGCAGACAGCTGAGATTTAAAAGGACTTTTTGAGGTTTCATTTCCTTTCAGTCCATGGGAAAAAAGGAGCCCCTGGTCCCCGGGCAGGCGAGACAGCTTAGTCACTCATTCTTCCCTGATTAACAGCAGCGCCAATTAGGAGGGTTTAAGTAAATGGAAAAGCAAAAGTCAATTATTTGCAGAGGTTGGAACAAGACTTGCAGTCAAACATCCGAGGTGACTAAATCTCCCCAGGCTCAGCAGGACCCTCCGGGGTGCTGGGGGGATGCTGGGGGCCACTGATGCTCCCTGCCTGGTAGCCCTGGTGGCAAGCCCAGGGGAGCAAGAGGGACACGGAGCTCTGGGGACCAGGAGTGGATAAGAGTGGAGTGCTAGGGGTGGGCTGTGCCTGAGCAGAGGGTGGGAAGCCCACGCTGACGATGCCAGAGCGTGTCCTGACCCCTCACATCCGGAGCAGCCTTGCAGGGCTGGTGTGTCACACTCAGGAACTGCCTCAGCCGCCCACATCAGGCTGGGAAAAACCTCCCCGAAGTGCTGGGGGCTGTGCAGAGCATTCCCTGCCAGCACAGTGGAGCACTGAGGGCTATGGGGAGTGTTCTGTGCTCCAGCTCCACCACCAGAGCCACCCACGAGTGGCCGTCCCTCCATGAGCAGCTTTGGCTGCACATCCAGCCAAGAGCAGGACGGGTCTGGGGACAGGGGACACAGCCCCCTAGATTGTCACCTGATTGTCACTCCTTTGCCATGGCAAAGGAGGGAAGGAACCCTGGGTGTGGGCTCAGACACCCACAAAGCATTTTGGCAAACAGGAGCACGCCGGGACCTCACAGGGATGGGTGTCCCCAGCCACCCACAGCGCTTTCCCAATCCCCGTGTTTGCTCTGGGACCGCTCTGCCGCAGCACCCACACCCTCCCCCTGCCACCACCCCGTCCCTGTCACACCCAGAGGGGTGGCTGGGTGCTGCAGGCCCTGGCATGTCCTGCTGGCTCCCAGCTCCTGGCAGGAGGAAGCCACTGTGGGGTTCCAAGAGCACCAACGCCTGGCTCAGCTGGATGCCTGTGTCAGCAGCCCTGGTCACAAAGCTCCTCTGTCCCCAGCCTCCAGCTGCCCTCCTGCCTCTCCATGACTCAGGCACACGTGGTGGCTCCAGCAGGAGGGACATAAAGGGGCTGCACAGCCGGGAGGGCACAGAGAGGGCTCTGGGCATGGCACACCCCGAGACGGGCTGGGTGCGAGGTGGGATGCTGGCAGCGAGGTCAGGGTTCAGCCAGGCCACAGCAGCTCCCAGCCACGCTCCAGCCCTCCCTGCCACGTCCCCAGGGCCCCCACACCCTGCTGGCATCACCCAGCCTGTGCTGTGGGCACAGCAGGGCAGGTGGCCCTGCAGGGACACGGGGATGGAGCAGGGCAGCACAGGTTTGTCCCTGTCCCGGGACACACCCCAGGACCGCAGAGCCTGAGGCTCCTGTGGGTGAAACCAGCCGGGAGAGGAGGCTCCTGTCCTGCCCATCCTCCTGACAGGTCGTGCCACCACAGCTGTCACCGAGCCCAGGGTGACAGGCAGGGCACAGCCCTGGAGCAGTCGGTGCCCCAAGGGCAAGTGCAGCCCTCGAGTGCTCAGAGGTCACGGCCCGGCCAGGGCAGCCCTGCCTGGGTCTTGGTCCCTCTGAGCCAGGGCAGGAGCTGGATTTTGCCTTCAGGATTCCAAAGGCAAAGTGTCCAAGCTGGTCCAGCAGCCTGGACTGGCTCTGTCCTGCCCTGGGAAGCATCTCCAGCATCACAATCAGCCCCACACACAGAATCATGGATTGGTCTGGGC